GGAAGTCTGGCCGTCTTCCGGTTCCCCTGAATCCTCCTGATCCTCTCTGGGAGGGAATCCCAAGGGACTGCCTCTGCCCGTCTTCCCCCTTGTTCACCTCCCTTTTTGACTAGGCGAGCGCAGGCCTCCAGCTCAGAGCGCTTGGCAGACAACTGGCCTCGAGTGTGAGCTAAGACAGACTTTTGCTTTGATTGTATTTACTCTTTTTTAAACCACTTTATGGAGCTATAATTCACATACCATGAAATTCACTCACTTAAAATGTACCAGAGGATGGTTTTTTAATATACTCTCTGGACTGTGCAGCCTTCAGCACAATCCAATTTTAGAACATTTTCATCACCCCCCCCAAAAAAACCCTGTGACCATTGGCAGCCTCTCCCCAGTGCCTCCTCCCGCGACCTCTGGAAACCACAAATCTACTTTCTGTCTCTGAGGATTTGCCTAGTTTGGATATTTCATGTAAATGGAATCACACAATGTATGTCTTTTGTGGCTGGCTCCCCGCACAGGATTGTGTTTGTGTGGTTACCTTGGCGAGGAACGCTGGGTTTTAATTAACTGTTGGGATGCAATGCTTTCTCCTGAAGCAAATTTCTTTCAGTCTATTCTTTTCTTCTCATTTCGGTGTACTGACCGTGTGCTTGAGTTACCAGGTACCCACGGAGGGTGGAACGTGCATCAGAACACTTGGAACACACAGTGCAAACCCCGTCTGAGGGATGGGGGTCCCTTTGCTGTCGGTTCTCTGTTTTGGGGAACTTTTTCTCTCCCTCATCTCTCCAACAGCCACCAAGCCCCTTCTTCCAGCCTCCCTGACTTTTCTCAAAACCCCCATTACTCAGACGAAAGACAGAGACCAGGGCAAGTTCTCCACAAACAAGGAGTCCATCCTTCTATTCAAAAACTACAGAGGGACAGCCGTGGTCTCCGCTTCTCCCCAGTCGTTCTGTCCGGAAGCAGCATCCACATCGAGTTTAATTATGCAATTAAAGTCATTTTCCTGGGCTGAACAAATATTTACAGCATATTTTGCTGCAAATTGCTTCGCCTGGAGAAAGGCTCTGCCGTTTGGGCTGGTGTGCCCGGTGAACATTCACACATTTACATACCTCATTGCCAGGGGGGCCGCTCGGCGCCAAGCAGGTGGCAGACAAGACAGCCCCCAAGGAAGGAGCGTCAGTACAAAGATGTGGCAGGTGTCAGCCAGGCGAGCGCATTCTGGGCCCCACCACGGTGCGACTGTGGACCGGTGACGTCCGCTGGGCCTCCGTGTAGCCCCAAATCCCAGCTCTGCGGCATCAAAGAAACCTCTGGGCTCTGGGGGGTGGGGGCCCAGACGGCAGAGAGAACATGGTGTGGGGAACAGCTCTGTAATAATCAGAAACGAGGCCATCCTGTCCCAGACACGGCTGTCACCTGTGTGGTTGTCCTGGGAGCTGACCCTTAACCAGAGCCCCAATGGAGCATCTCCCGAGGGCTCGGCTGAATTCTGCTTCCTGTGCAAGAAAATTCAAAGGCAAAACTTCAGAAAAGCAGAAATTCTACTGCCCCTGAAACTTGTCTCCATCTCAAGCCCGCAGTGTTTTTACCCCATGGAGGAAACTTTATGTCAGTCCATGGGGGTGAGGTCCACTAACGCAGGGTTTCCTCGGTTAGAGGGCTCCCTCTCCTGCTGCCTAGCTCAGGGTTTGCAGGAAAATTCTGGATCTGGGGGTTTGTGTAGCATCAAAACATGGGAGGGGAGCTGGGACAGGAGTGACAGTCAAGATATCTAAAAATCAGTGGGAGCAATAACCACTCAGATACAATCCAGAGTGAGATTTGGGAGCCGCTTGGCTGTGTGGGAAGGTCTAGGGGTCCCGGGGGAGGACCTGGGATGAATGAGTCGGGGGCAGTCAGGGTGCAGGGTCAGCAGCTCCCCATCAGCCCATGTGGGTGATTTCAGCATGTTACCCCCCAGGACTATTGCAAGTCAGTCCTGACTGGAGTGGAGCCCATTTGACAGCCGAGGAAACAGGTTCAGAGTTTTGTGCAATGACCCGAGGGCACACTGCTAGGAAGGGGCAGGGGGTACCTCACATCCAGACCCTCTGGACCCCAGAATCTAAGCCGAGCTGAGCTATTTTATTTCACTGGACTCCAGCAGGGGAATTATTACCCCATGGCATGGAGGAGGGTGTCACTTTAGGTGACACTGCTGGCCAGAGGCAGAGCTGGGATGTGTCCAAGGTCACCAGTATTTACTACAGGTGGGAGGGAGGGAGCGGGCAGCAGGCCCTCTCCCTAGAAGATGGAACCTGGTCCCTGTTGCTGCAATTGCTGACAGCGAGGACAAAGCAGAGGTCACTGCTCCAGCCTGGAGCTCCAGAGCCTGTGCCTTGTGGTCTTCAAGCTCTGGAAGGGACATGCTGTGGCATCCAGAAGGGCAAGTGGGACGCAGATCAGGAGCTCTGGGTTGAGGTGGCCCCGAGGAGAGAGGGAAAGAAGGAAGAGGGTCCTGCAATTCCCAGCTCCCAAGAGCCCCCAGCCAGCCTCCTCCGTCCCCCTGGATGCACCCCAAGATGCTCAGGTGAACGCAGGGACAAGTTTGTTGTCCCGGTTCCGTATTTGCTGTGTACCTACTGGGTTGTGATCTTTAACCCAGAGCCCAGCATGGCTCCAGAAACCCACGGAGGTCAGGGGACAGCTTCTACGTTGGATTCCAAGAGAGGACGTCAGTCCCTGTGTTGGTTTGGACTCCTGTGTACCATGGGGAGGGCTGACCAGGACCCAGGAGACTGAGTGTTCATTCTCGCCCCAACCCCGCCCTGAACGACGGGCCACTCACCTGCTCAGGGCCCCGGTGTGACCACCTGCCTTGGCCTTTGCCTTCCTGCCTTGCACAGATCTAGGCACAGCAAAATAGCATCAGTCATCAAGGTCACAGTGTCCTGATCATTGTAGCCACGGGGCTTGCACAGAAACCAGGACTTGGAGGTGGCTGGAACACAGCCTGAATGGTGGGGGGAAACTGACTTAGGGTCCAATGGCTTTTCAGTCCTCTTGGTCCCCCCGAAACTCTTATTCTGTTTAAGGCACCTCCTCTGGGCTGTCTTCCAGGCTTCCAAGGTCAGGTGGGAACATGACCATATGCGAGTCTGCTGGCAGCGTGGGTGACACTGTGCCTACAGAATCCTGAGACGGCTGTCTTTGCTTGAAAAGGGAGGAACACTACTGAGGGTCTAGAACAGGTCAGAGCCTGAGGCACGCATTCAAAAGTGGTGCCCAAACTAGATTCTGGAAGCACCTCTCAAGGGTCCAAGGATCTGCCTCAGAGGCCGACAGGGAGTGGAGAAAAAGAAGCCAGGTGGCCTAGGTACCAACACCTTCCCAGCCTCAGGTGGGCCACCTCCTGTTTTGTCTCCGTTAGACGTTCGTTTTCTGAGTCAGAGTACATGACAAGCGAGTGTTCTGCAGCAAAAAGGAAAAACACATTTGAAAGCCACTGGTTTAAATTAACACAGCAGATAGCATTTAATCCCGTTAAATGGCTTTTCCCCGTCAGCGGTTTTGCTGTCGGAACCCGACCCTTTGTCAGCAGAGCCCCGCCAGCTCTCAGCTCCTTGAAGGGAAAGAAGATTCGGGTTGCTGATTCCCAGCCTGGCCTCCGTGTCCCCATCTATAAAATCAGGGGGTCTTGGCTTCACTCACCACGTGGAAGGCGCAGAGGAGTTCAGGGGAACAAGTGAGCCTGTGTGTTGTGAAAGCAAATTGAGCCGAGGCATCCTGACCCAGGAACAGCCCGGGCCCGGAAAGAACAGGAACCCGAGAAAGTCACGTTGGTCTGCGGGATGCAGGTACCGCGTCCCGTGGATGGTTGGTCTGGATTGTCCAGAGAAGCCAATAGACATTGGGAGCAGAGGAATCAGGGGAGGGCTGGAGGCCAAACCGTACCACCCCCACTGTCCACGGCAGCCAGCCGTGAGCCCACCGATGCCACGATGCTCGGTATACAGAAGGTGCTCAATTGATGCTCAATGAGCACTTTGGCTGGTCCTTCTACAGGACATTTTTCTCTCTACTCTCCTCCCCTGTGGGTGACAGTTGAGAAAAACATTGCTCAAAGAAGAGTTTATTGACAGAAGCCTGTGACGTTGGCCACAATGTAACACGTGTGGAAGGCTGAGCCCCCAAGCCCAAGTTTTGGTCAAAAAGCACATTTTAAACTCTCCCAGTTCCAGTTACACAAGATCCACCATCTAAAGGTTTGTGGAATTTTTCAAGGACACTAACTAGCGGCTTCTAGGCGTTAACCAGTGGTTAATTCAGAAAACCCAAAGCATGGTGTCAGGTGACCTCTGAGTGACATTCTCCCTGCTCACGCCTCCCCATCTGACTGCCTCCATCCCCTCTACTCACCCTCTCCATAAGGGTGGTCTTGACACTCCCCTCCCCATATTCTTTGCAGGAGCTTAGATCACAAAGGGTTTCATCAGAGTCCCTTTTTCTTGGCAGTTCAAGTAAGAAAAACCAAGCAAACAAATCCACCTTTTCTATAAAAGTTTATTTTGTGATTTTTTTCCCCTGAAATTGGTAAGGAGGAAAGTTGAAATTATGTGAAGGTAAGGAACCAGGGATATAAAAATAATTTAAACACGCATGTTAATAACAAAGCAGCATTGCTTTCTAGCAACAACTAGTAGGTAATCTTGCCCAAGATTTCTCCAAAGGTATTAAATATGTTTCAGACAACAGTACATAGATACACGCACACATACACCTATATACAGCTCAAGTACTTTTTTTTCTGTGCATTCTGGCGAAATGATACAGCTACAGAGGAAAAACGGAAAAGACGCTCTGCCTGAGTGTCCTTAGGTTGAACGAATGTGTGCTGGATAGTGAACCCTGGAGCCGTGCTGAGATTTCCCCATCCCACCTCATTATCCTGTGCTCCCCACTAGCCTGTGCTCTGTCATCGTATCTGAAAAATTAGGGTGTGTCTTTCAGGTCAGCTCACGGGTGTGATCATTACAGTGCTGCAGGCGGTGAGAATTCAGGAAGTGCCAGTCTCTCGCGCGGCTGGGACATCTTAGGGACCGGAAAGGGGAGGACTGAAGGCCGTGGGGTCCAATTACATCTGGCTGATCCTTTGCTTCAGGGCCAGGACCTGGCTCTTGATCTCGTGGGGGAGGTCAGCATTCACTTGCTCCTCCAAGTACTTCTGGATCTCTTCTACCTCCTCCTCCCAGAACTCCTTGGAGATGTGGAAGAGCTCCTTCACGTTGACATCCCCCAGGCCCCGCAGATCCAGGGCGCCTTCCGCGGGGACGTAGCCGATGGGAGTGGGCCTGGCGCCGCCTTCCCCGTTGATGCGATTGAACATCCACTCCAGCACCCGGGAGTTCTCGCCGAAGCCCGGCCACAGGAACCTGCCGTCCTTGTCCTTCCGGAACCAGTTGACGTGGAAGATCTTGGGCAGCTTGGCTGCTGGGCGCTGGGCCATGCTGAGCCAGTGGGTCAGGTAGTGGCCAAAGTTGTAGCCAAAGAAGGGCCGCATGGCGAAGGGGTCGTGCATGATGACTTTGCCTGTTAACGGTTGGGTGCGGGGGGGGCTGTTGTAAGTGATGCTCAGAGGACACTGTGGGCACATTTGTTTTCGACATGGCCCTGTGGGTCTCTCTACCTCTGCACACACACACACACACACACACAGACACAGAACACTGAGAGAGAGAAAGAGAAACAAGAGTAACAGAGAGATACAGAGACAGAGACACACAGAGACATAGAGAGAGACAGAGACAGAGAGAGCGGGTCGATCACCGCTCTTTGCGGCCCCAGAGGCAGCCGGGACTCACCCTTGTGCTCTGCAGCTGCCGTGGCCTCCGACCTCATGGCCGCCCCCACAAACACTCCATGCTGCCAGCTGAGAGCTTCATAGACCAGAGGGACACCTTTAGCAGGAGAAAGAAATGTTCCTTAAAGGCCTTGACACCCAGACCCCTCGGCCGGCGATGCCATCACAGAAATGGAAAGACTCGGCAGGACGGCGTCTTTCTATCTGAGCTCATCCTGCCTCCCAGAGCTGAAGGGCAGACGCCGCTACGTGGAAGTTACAGCCCCAAGGCCGTGAGCCAAAGTCAAACTAGAAACGGCATCAGGAGGTCAAGGACCCGGAGGCTCTAGACGGGCGGAGGGCAGGTTCTACACTGGAGCTCACGGCCCTGCTGTTTCGAAAGGGTGCTCCAGACCCCTGACGCCCTCCCACGAGGTCAGGGCCGGGGGAGAGGGCGCCACGTCCTCCGGCAGCCGCACACCCATGCTCCCGGCCCCACTGCAGGAGAGTCTCACCTGTAGGTCGGCGCCCTCCGAAGATGATGCCCTCGATGGGCACGCCTTCCGGAGACTCCCAGGCTGGGTCGATGATGGGGCACTGGCTGGCAGGGGTGCAGAAGCGCGAGTTGGGGTGGGCGCAAGGCTCCCCTACGACAGCAAGAGGAGAGGCTCTGAGCGTCTGCCAGACACTCACGCCTGCGGGCTGGGGCGCCGGGCCTCCCGGGGTGCTTACCATCCTCCGGGCTCCACTCCTTGTTCTTCCACGAAGTGAGCCTGACGCCCGAGGCCAGTGGCTGGTCGATGCCTTCCCAGTAAACGCCGCCATCGCTGGTCTGGGCCACGTTGGTGAAGATGGTGTTCCTCTGGATGGTCTTAATGGCGTTGGGGTTTGTCTTCACAGAGGTTCCAGGAGCGACGCCAAAAAACCCATTCTCTGGGTTGATAGCCCGTAAGTTCCCTGGAAAGTTTTAAACCAGGGAGTAGAAATAAATGCCAAGCAAAGCACAGCATGCATCTTCCGAGGCTGATTTTGGTGCTGAATTCTCAAATCTTTTATTTTTTCCTCCTCCCTGGAATATGGTTCTCTTTTTCCATCCGTGCATCATAGTCAACTTCTTCTTTATACTTTTTCTAGGGGGCTGAGGGGAAGGTAATTAGGTTTGTTTGTTTACCTTTTAATGGAGGGCCTGGGGATTGAACCCAGGACCTCGTGCATGCTAAACACACACTCTACCACTGAGCTAGACCCTCCCCACTACAGCTAACTATGACACCGTGACAACTCTTTCTTTCTCACCAGTTTTCCACCAAACTATCTTAATAAATGTATTATGTAGACAAACAGTGACATATGGTCACATTTCAATTCAGATTTGATATGCGATGAAAGAATGCTGACAGAATACCTATGTCTAAGCTTTTGTAAGATCTGAAATAACCGAATTACAAATCCAGCCACTGTGGACTTCGGAGAATTTGGCGCGTTTTGAAAGCCAAAACTTCACTTAGGTCCCATTATTATCCTCAACACTTGGGCCTGAAAGAGTCACCTTGTGAGTCAAACTTCATCCAGGCGATGTCATCACCCACACACTCTACTTTCCACCCCGGGAGGGTGGGGTTCATCATGGCCAGGTTGGTCTTCCCGCAGGCACTGGGAAACGCAGCGGCCAAGTACTTCTTCTGGCCCTGGGGGTTGGTTATGCCCAGAATCTGTGGGAGACAAGATTCTGCCTTCAGCGCTTCACTCCTTCCCACCCCAGAGGTCCATGCTTTAGTCTAGGAGTGTGCCTGGAAGTCCCAGAAGGTAGGTTCCCAAGATCTACGTCTTCAGGTATCAAAAGGAACAATTTGAATGAGGAGGCCCAAAGGATCTCTATGGTATTTGAGGTCCTTCAAAGGGGCATCCACTTCAGGTGGATTAATATATGTTTTCTGGAGTATGGTGAACCTTTAACACAATATGACTGCTATCTCTACAAGAGGGAAATTTGGACACAAAGGCAAAAAGTCGAGGTAGAGATGGAGGTGGCCGTTGCATCCACACGCCAAGCAATGCCTGCAAACACCAGAGCAGGAGAGAGGCGTGGGAGGAATTCAAATTAAAAATTATTGATGGACTTTCCAAATCTGTCCCTGCTGTATAGGAACCAAAACACAGTAGGTAATAGCCACCTTCTCTTCCTCCCCGGCCCTCGACCATGCACCCTGAGAACTTCCTGTGTCTTACCAGCATGTGCTCTGCCAGCCACCCCTCCTCCTTGGCCAGCCGGCTGGCTATCCGGAGGGCAAAGCACTTCTTCCCAAGGAGTGAGTTCCCACCGTACCCACTCCCGAAGGAGATGATCTCTCTGCGGTCGGGCAGATGGGCGATGAGCGTCAGCTCTGGGTTACAGGCCCAGTTGTTAACCAAAGGCTCTGCACAGGAGGACACGCCCCACATTAGTGTGCCACGTCCCCGCCTGGGTTCAAGGCCAAGCTCTTTAGTGAATTTCAGCGCTTTCTTTTCCTCCTAATTTTAGCTTCTGATTTTGAAATAGGACGCTTACTTTTTAAAGGCAAAGGGCAGCCCACAGAGTGGAGGCACTTGACGAACTCTCCATCACCCAGCGCTTCCAGGACAGGCGCGCCCATTCGCGTCATGATGCGCATGCTGGCCACCACGTAGGGCGAGTCGGTCAGCTGGATGCCGATCTTGGACAGAGGCGAGCCCAGCGGCCCCATGCTGAACGGGATGACATACATGGTGCGACCTGGGGGGCCAGTGGTGGGAACTGGTGAGAAATGACCCTGGACTCACAAACCACCATCATGGTTTTCCCAGCAGGACCCCCATCTTGCTCTCCCTCTGACAACATCACACCCTGCAGCTGCCAGCCACCCCCCCCCCGCCCCCGATTTAGATGAGTCCTCTGGAAAGCGAACAGAATGCAAAAATTAAAGAGTTTTCATAAACGTGCAGTAGGCTTCCACCAGGTTATCGGTGGAACACGCACAGAAATCATTTTCACGGTCGTATGAGAAAAGTCTGTAAAGCTAGCACTGCGATGTACATTTTCACCACAGGGCCAATCCCACGTTCGGAACTCAAAGTCCTCCGAGGCCATGGGAGTTTCCAGTCCAATTACCATTAGGATGGACATGCTAATAAAAGGTTTGCTGACATTTCGCCCAATCAAGTAAACATCTCATTCACCTTTCATGCACCCTGGGAACCGGGCATTAAACGCCTTCTCAAAGTCCTCCTTGGACATCCAGCGACCCAGCTGGCTGACGCCAGTTTTGGGGATGGGCACCGTATCTCTTTGCTCTTGAGTAATAATGACAGTCTTGCTTTCAATTCTGGCCACATCCCTGGGGTCGGTGAGAGCCAACCAGCTGCAAAAATCAAAGATACACAGGTTAAGACTGGAGAGGGAAGTGTTGCCACTCCACACGGCATCTGTGCCAGGGATTCCCTCAGCCAAGCATCATTCAGGAATGGACCAGTTTGTGACTTTCCACAGCTAGCAGGTGCCAAGCACACTGACGATGGTCCATACATGTGGACACAACCACATTGCTTGAGACACAGTCAGGGAGACACTTACTAGACCAGGAGCTAGTCTTTTAGGACAGGGACTGTCTGACCTTCATTTTTATCAGGGATCTAGTTTGCAAAGAGCGTTTGTGGCTCCACCTCATTGAAGACTTGGGTTGCTCTGCAAACGTCATAAAATTACAGTTCTGGCTCTTCTAGTAAGTTTTTCAAGAGTCTGCAAAACTGCGGCCCTCCGCCCCCCACCGCCGCCCGCGGAGGGGCAGGTGTGGACGTGGGTGCGGGGCTGCGCTCACCAGTTGTCGTACTTCTTCAGCCTCTTGATGACACCCTCTTCCTCCATGCGGCCCAGCAGCTGCTGGTTCTCCTCTTCGGAGCCATCGCAGATGTGGATCTGGTCAGGCTGACACAGCTTGGCGCTGCTCTCCACGAAATCCCTCACGGCCTGGGCAGGCTCTCGAGGGAGCCCTGGATGACTTTGGCTGAGTAGCTGTGGCCGTCTGAGATCTGAGGAGGCATCTCTGCAGGGCTGTGCTGAGGGGCTGGCTGGGGTTCCCTGCAACAGAAGCACAGGCTTCCTGGTGGGGAGGGTATAGCCCAGGGGTAGAGCGCATGCTTAGCGCGCCTGAGGGTTCAATTCCCAGTACCGCCATTAAAATAAATTAAAATAAAATAACGCTCCACCCGTTTTGTTTGGGTTGCATGTCACCAGACAGACAGACATGCTAGCTGGAAGGAAAAAAGATGAGCTCCTTTTAGGGCTGCAACTCCTGAGAAAGGTACTTGATAAAGCTCTACCTACCTCTCTTCTCTGTGGTTGATCTGCACCAGAGATGCAAAGGTTTCCTTCAAAGTTCTTCCGGCCGGTGAGCGTGTGTTCCCCGTGGGAAAGCCCTGTTTGGGGTTCGGTGGCAGGACTTCCTGGCTTTAAATTCCATGGAGGAGAAAGGCCCTGCCCCTCGGCCACACCCCGGGGAGGCTCGTCCCTGACGTCAGGGGCAGGCCTTTGGATCACGGCCACGGTCAGTTATGCTTTGGACCGACGCACCACAATAAACCCCGGGGAGATAATCATTGAACGGACCATTGTTAATGAGTGCTGGGAGGCCTCAGCCCCGGACCAGCCATAGAAAACTCTTACGCAACTTCTGGTGGACGGAACTTTGACCCAGCCCACTGCTGGAAACCCGTCGCCCTCCCACTGACAGGCAGGTGGGATGGAGCACAGGCTGGGGGGACATCTGCCTACGGATGCTGTCGATCGGCAAGACGGGGGTGCTGAGGTGTCAGCCCACAGTCAAAGGCCCGGGCGAAGACCACCCCGAATGCGGGACGGCCAGGGGCTAACTGGCAATGATCTGATTTAATTAGGGGCAATGAACCCTACTGAGTGTCCACTGTGTTACCCCCTCCCCACCCCCAACCCAAACATAAACTCCATGAGAGCAGGGATTTCTGTCTGTTTTGTTCTTTTTTGTATACATAGTTCCCGGCACACGGTGCGCACTGAATGAACAAGTGCTGAGCCTCGTTCCAAGCGCTTCGCCGCCACTAACTCCCCCCGACTCTCTGAGGAGCCCACGAACAGCCCTGTATACAGACAAGGACACTGAGGTACAGGGGGCCCGGTGGCTCCTCCCAGCTCCCCAGCTGCCCCACCGGGCTCTGGGGCAGCATCCCAAACTGCCCCTAGTGAGGTACCTTTGCCCCTTCTAGAACCTTCCATGTATTCTCCAAGGAGTTCTGGACTGATGCAGTTATTTCTGGAGTCGACTGTACACCCTTCACTGCCCTTGCAGATCTTAGTGTCCGGGGAGTGGAGGGGGCTTGGTGGTTTTGCCAGATTACACTTGAGCAATGAGACCTTTATAACAGTTGCAAAGATTTTGCTTTGCAAGCTGTCAGAACTTCAGTCCAATTTAATGAGCTATGGAGCGTTGGCTAGAGTTTTGAGAACACTGGGTGAGAAGTCAGAAGAACGGGGCCAGGCCCTGACTCCCCACAGCCAGCCTGACAGCCCAGTGGGCACCCTCTCCCTCGGAGGAGGACACTGGGGACTCGCCCACCTCCCCTACAGGCTGTGAGCTGAGCTGACTCTGTGTTAGGAGCTGTGGCCATTACAAGGCGTTGGGAGTAACGGTCTCACACCGAGCGTATTTAGAGGACTGTCCTGTAGGGCTTCATTCCCACTGCCACGCTGGGTGTACCCTTATCACCAACTTCCACCACAACTACCAACTCATTGCTGTTTCATTTATTCTGATTTTTTTATTCAGCCAATTGAATCTTTCAGCATAAATACAACAGGAGGTATTTTCATGCAGTTTACAATTATTTGCCATTTAGGTCACTAGAATTAGGGTTATGTGGTATGTTAAGTTGATTGGAAAGCATTGTCAAAAGATCGGAGATAAATCTTCTTAGGTTGTACTAAATGTCACTAATACAGATATTCTAGAAATTACATGAAATTTCTAAAATTTGGATACATCCTGATATAAAGTTATCAGTCATAATTCTAGTTATTGTCTTAAAATGTTCTGTGTCACAGCAGTGACCAAGTTTCTTTGTCAGTTGCACTGTAATCAGATCTTTAACCATGCCTTTTAAAGTCCTTTGTCACTTACAAATATTGTTTGATGCTTTTGCAAAAGTGTTTCATCTTCAAGAAGATTCATAGACAGGACAGGTTTCTGATAACTTTCAGATCATGTTGCTGAACTGGGTAAGAAATGAAAGTTTCCCAATGGAAAACTTCATTAAAAAAATGTTAACAAAAAGGATCAGTTACATAAGATTGAGTGAACTGGAGAATACGGTTATTTTTATGGTTTTTGTCTGAAATATTTCTGGCTTTTAATCTATGTTTTTCAGATATAAGGAAACCTTTCCCCTTAAGCTAGTTATGACTTATAGCAACTGGGTAATTATGCCTTTGTAAGCAGAACAGAAATAGTTATCTTTTGTCTCTACCTGATCCCTCCAGAAATTGGAAACTCCTAAGTTCCCAGCTGACTTACCAAGCGAATAAGGAAGACAGGTACAGGAATCTCAAGATACTCTGGGGACTCTGAGAAGAGAGAAATTTGCCCAAATCTATAGCTATTGCAGACAGAATCTGTGGCAAGCCCTTGGCATGGTTTTCCTGGCCCTGAGAGACCTTTTAAAAGCTCAGACTGAGATTCTTTGAAAAGTTTCAGCACTGCTAATTTTTAAAAGTCTATAATGATCAATTACACTTACGTAAATAATCAGGCCAAGTTTTTTGAAATCTGACTTGTGTGGCAAACAAAATAATCTTCATCGTTGGTAGAAACAAGGGTAATTTTAGAGAGAAAAAGACTATGTTTTTGTGAATATTAAATTCTAGTCTTGTTAACTGAGGCCTGTATTCACCACCTTAGACTCACTAACAGCTCCTTGTGGCTATGTTGTAAAGTTTAATTGAATTATTAAAAGGACATTCTAAGTTTGTTCCTGAAGCTTATCACAGCAATCTATCTTTGGATGAAGATCAGACGCCCCATGATCTGCAACCAGGAGATGATGCATACTGGGAAAGGCACCCTCTAAAGGGCTGTCTCCAACCTGGATGTAAGGACCAGTATCAGGCACTCTTAAACTGAAGGGAACTGACTCTTGAATTCATATCTCCACGTCAGAAGGGCCTCTGCACTGGACTGGTCTATAGAAAGGACTGCTGGCCTCAACGGGACGACAGGAAGACGCCAGCCGGTAGACAGCTGACCCAAGAATCTGGACCAGGCCTGTAAGACGTACCCGACTAATCTGGTTGAACGGTTTACCAAATGTTTGTCTCGCTGTCAAAACTGAAAGTGATCATTTTACTTTTAACCATACTGTTGCCCTCAGCGTTCAGGAAAGAAAGAAAATTCTCTGGTGAAGTTGTCAGTTAGCTACTCATGACATGTGCCATGTCTGCTTTAAGTCTATTGCTGAAAGCACATGGATAATGTCTGTGTGATAATTTGCTATAATTTATAAAATACATAGCCTATAAAATGCTTCCCTATTAGCATACTTCTGAGTTTGTTCACTGTATCTGATTAAATTTCCTCCTACGTGGATAACTAGACAAATACATATAGAAATAAACAAAAAGGAGGCCTAGCACCGAGGGACAATGATGCGCCCAGGGCAGGCAGCAACCTGGCACCAAGGGACAAATATTCTGATCTATCCAAAGATATGCAAACCAAAAGGGGAGATGATGAAAGAAACTTGCATCCACTGAGGTCTGGGAAGGTCACTCTGGCTTATGTAAGACAAACAAGAACAGCCTATTTCGTTGTCTGGCGAGCACGGATTGGACATCGGCCTTAAACATTAAGGAGAGAAAGTGCATTTTGAGATCAAAGTAGAGTAACTGTGGTTCGGGCATCCAGAACGGAGCTGAGGGGCCACCGTGGACATGGTTCAGACGTGTTCCTCTGCTACTGAGAGCTTGAATGTTTTTGAAATCTATTAGACTCAAGGACACCACCAACTATTCTCAAAACAATGTCTGCCAGCAGCTGCCAACTACAACCTCCTAACCTCAAGGTCTCCTCCTATAACTAGGAAAGCGTTTCTCTTACTTTAGGAATAGTTGTGGCAAATGAGACAGCGCAAGCCATAGCCTCCCGGCAGAAGGCACGAGATGCTTTTTTTCTTAATTGAAGTACAGTCGATTTATAATGTTGCGGTAATTTCAGGTGTAGAGCAAGCTGATTCAGTTTTTTATATATATTCTTTTTTTATTCTTTTCCATGATAGGCTTTTTACAAGGTATTGAATATAGTTCGCTGTGCTCTACTGTAAGTCCTTGCTGTAGAAGGCCCTGGATTCTTTAGCCAGAACAGTCTTAGACAATAAAGTTGTGTCAGACTCGATTCCAGCAGACAAAGGAGGCATGTGTGTAGTGGCCCATAGCTCCTGTCATGTATACATTAATAACACATCAGAAGTTAAAACCTACTTAGATAAAACTGGGCAACTGGCTTCCTGGCTACAAGTCTCCCCAGAAGTGCCAGGTCCAGACTGGCTTTCAGGCTTATTCTCCTGAATTCCTCAGGGCATAAGATCTCTTTCCCAAGGTATATTAAACTTCAGGTTGTCACCCCCCCGACCCTCGCTTCTAATTGGGTCTGTTGCACCAAAACTGTGGACCAAGGGACTAAGCTCTTAATCATGAAACACTCAAATCCGAGACCTGGAACTTGGGAATATTTCCAACTCAGTGTGCAATATTTCCATTCCCCGAATTAAGGTGGGCCCACACCCCGTTTCAGTAGGAAGTAGCCAGAGCGGCCATTGTTTCGTTCCCTTAAAGACCAGGGGAAGTTAAAGCAAGAGTGAGGATAGAAACTGAGCCCCTCTGAAACCAAGTTCCCTCACCGAGTTTAGGATTAATCTCTCTATCCAAAATTTTCTTCCCTTGCTTGTCGCCTCTGACCACAATCCTGTGCTAACCGAACACTAATCCACCAGGATCAGCAGACTGACTGCTGTTGCCGTAACACCATTAACGTACTGAAGCTGCGGCCGTAGGTGTC